CACACACACACACCCAAACACACACCCAGACACACACACACACCTGGACACACACACACACCTCGACACACACACACACAGACACCCAGACACACACACATGCACTCTCACACAGATCTTCTCTCATACATACACTGTCTTTCAAGCACGCCCAGACATACACACATACACCCACACACACAGACACCCAGACTCCCGGACACACACACACACCTAGACACACACACACCCAGACACACACAGTCACACCCAGACACACACACCCAGATACCCAAAGACACACACACAGATACCCAGACAAGCAGACACACACCCAGATGCACACACACCTAGACGCGCACATACATACACTGTCTCTCAAGCATGCCAGACACACACACACATGCAGATACACACACACCCAGACACACACCTAGACAAACACCTAGACACACACACACAACCACACACAGACACCCAGACATGCAGACACACACACAGACACCCAGACAAACACAGACACCCAGACACAGTCACCCAGACACACACACGCGCACACACATACGCACACACAGACACCCAGACACACCTAGACACACTCACCCAGACACACACATGCCCACCCACACACACACACCCAGAGACCCACACACACACACCCAGACCCACACACACACCCAGACCCACACACACCTGAACACACACTGAGACACCCAGACATACACACCCAGACACACACACACACACCTCGATCCACACACATACACAGACACCCAGACACAAACACATGCAATCTCACACCGACCCTCTCTCATATATACACTGTCTCTCAAGCACACACACACACCCAGACATAGACACATACCCACCCACCCACAAACACACACACATATGCACTCTCATACAGATCCTCTCTCATACATACACTGTCTCTCAAGCACGCCCAGATATACATAGATACACACACATCTAGACGCACACACACACACCTCAACACACACACACACCTCGACACACACACACACACACCTTGACACACACACACACACGCACACACACCAGGCACACACACACACAGACACCCAGACACACACACACCCAGACACAGACACACAACCAGACACACACCGAGACCCAGACACACGCGCACACACACACACTTTCAGACACACACCTCAACACACACACACCTCAACACACACACACACACACACACACACACACACACCCTGACACAGACACACACACACACACCCAGACACACACACGCACACACACACACACACAGACACATCCAGATATATGCACACACCCAGACACACACACACCTAGACATAGACACACATACACCCACCCACAAACACACACACCCACCCACAAACACACACACACAAACACATGCCCTCTCACACAGATCCTCTCTCATACATACACTGTCTCACAAGCATGCCCAGATATACATACATATACACACACAGACACACACCCAGACACACACACACAGACACCCAGACACACACACACAGACACCCAGACACACACACAGACACACACACACACAGACACCCATACACACACAGACTCCCAGACACACTCACCCAAACACACACAGACATACCCAGACACATACACACCCAGACACACACCTAGACACACGCGTGCACACACACACACACCTAGACACACACATAGATACCCAGACACCCATACACACACACATACACCACTCACAGACTCCTAGACACACACAGACATACCCAGACACACAGACACACACACACACACACACACCTAGACACGCACACACAGATTCTCTCATATATACACTCTCTCTGAAGCACGCCCAGACATACACATACACACACACACACACACACACACACTCTCACATAGACATCCAGACACACACACAGACACACAGACACCCAGACACACTCACCCAGATACCCCGACACACACAGACACACAGACAGACAGACAGACACACACACACACACTCACACACATGGACTCTCACACAGATCCTTTCTCATACAAACTATGTGTCTCAAGCATACCCAGACACACACACCTAGACACACATACACCCAGACACACGCACACACAGTCAGTAGCAATCAGTCCAGGAGATGGACATCCTGCTATCCAGCACAATGACACATCAATCTCACATTCCAGCAAGCGCCAGCTGCCTGCACCACAAACATACTGTAGGAATTTTCAGCCAAACAACCATGTTTCAAAGTATGTGGGTGTAGTCCTCCATTGAGGCAAAATAGGCTGCTGTTAGGTAAGGGGCCCTTATACCTAACATATTCAAGGGCAGATTTTGCAAGCAGTCCAGAAGATTGAAAAGATCCATTCGCAATTTTGGGAGCTGAACTGCTGGTCTGCCAAACTCTGCCTATTTTGAGCGTTATTTGTAAATTGTCCCTAAGTGCAGATAACATTGTTTACCAAGCTGCTGACAATATCTGACTGCATTTACTCATCTGAGCTGACCGAAGATTAGATTCGGTTATTGTGTTGACAGAACGCTGTGAAATATATCAATTATATGACTTACCAAAGCCACAGTATTTTCAAATGATGTTTTTCAGTAGGTTTCAAAAGACCATATGACAGGAACAATTTTGTCACATCATCTATTTCCTGTACAACAGGGGACGTGTTATAAAAGGAAATGTGTGCAGTGTGCATTCAGAGATTTCTTAAAACCAGGAAGCTCTGACTGGAGTTTTATTCAGTTGCTTCCTAGAGGGTGTTCTCCGTTTCAGCTTCCTGGTGATGATGCTGAAGTGAACCACTCACCTTCTGCATCTCAGGGCTCTCTTTATTATTGTTAATCCACTGATGCTTGGGGACAATTTCAAATTTCTGTTCCATGTTTTCGTTCTTTTCATTCTCACTGCGGCTTTGTGTATCAGTACTCATGTCGACAGTTGTGTGCCTGTAAATACAAATGTGACAGTGAAACCATGGGAGCCTTGTCCCTGTTGTTCAGTTCAGACTGTATCTTTCCTGCAATTACACTGTTGACTCTCTTTAGGTTTCTATTGCACTTGCAATGATGAGACTGCCTTAATTTAGTTCACGATTACAATCTTGACTATGATGCATTATCCCTATCTCAATCTCTCATTGTCCTTTAGCTGATGCATTCACCTCGGCTGTCCCTCCTTTGTGGCCAATTTGATAATGTCACACTTTCGTGACTCCATCTCCCTCAGGCCCAATACAGTCCACATGTCTTCTGCAATGGCTTTTCCTTACCCACTCAAGATCATAAGAAATAGGAGACAGGAATGGGCGATGCGGCCCATTAAGCCTGCTTCACAATTCCATAGGACCATAGCTGATCTGATTGTGACATTAGCTCCGTGACTCCCTTGCAGATTGAAAATCTATATCAACTGAGTCTTGAATATATTCATAGACTCTGCTGCACTCTGTGGAACAGAATGCAAAATGACGGTCTGAGAGAAGAAATTCAAAACCATCCATATCATAAATAGGAGCCACTTTGTTGTTAAATTGCACCCTGCCCCCCATTCTAGATTTTAGATACTACTTCTCTCAGAGGGTTGTGAACCTGTAGAACTCACTGTCTCAGAGTGCAGCGGAGGCAGAATCAATCAACAGATTCAAAAAAAGAAACTGATATGTTTCTGATGGTATCGGGATAAAAGGGGAGCAGGCAGGAAAGTGGACATGAGAATCAAAAATAGAAATTGCTGGAAAAGCTCAGTCAAGTCTGGCAGCATCTGTGGAGAGAAATCAGAGTTAACGTTTCGGGTCGAGTGACACTTCCTCAATACTGCATCCGCAGTTCTTTCGGTTTTTATAAAGTGGAGTTGAGACCAGAATAAGATCAGCCGTGTTCATGTTAAATGGCAGAGTGGGCTCAAAGTGCTGGATTGCCTGCTCCTGCTCTTAATTCCCATGTTTCTATTCCCCCACAAGAGGAAATGTTCTCCCAGCACCTACGCTGTCAAGTCCTCTCAGGATCTTGTATCGTTGAATAAAACCAAATCTTCTTGTTTGAAACTCAAAGGGGTATGAGTCCATGTTGCTCGACCTTTCCTCACAAGACAGTCCCTTCATCCCAGAATCAGCCTTGTGAACCTTCCCTGAACTGTTTGATATACAAGTGTATCACTCCTTTATATAAGGAGACCAAACTTTATTGAATATCTTTTGGAATTTCAAATGCACAACATCTATTGGTTTCCCATTATCCACCCAGCTTGGTATATTCTCAAAAAAACACTATAATCCTATTTGTCAGGCCCGATTTTCCTTCACAAAACTCAGTTGGCTCTGCCTGACTATAATACGATAGCTACCACCCAGAATATCATTCCCGAAATCCACAGGATGCTCACTTATTTCTCATCTCCTTGCTCATTTTTAGTAGCATTACTGTGAGAATAGGGGCTACAGAAGTCCTTTAGAAGGGAAATCTGATGTCCTTACCTGGTCTGACCTACATGCCTACATGTGACTCCAGACCCACAAAAATGTGTTGACTCTTATCTGCCTCTGGGTGATTAGGGATGGGCAATAAATACTGGCTTAGCCGGCAATGCTCACGACCTGTGAATGAATTTTAAAAAAATCTCTACATATGTCAAAAATACTCTACTTTACGCCGATGCTTAACTGGAGCTGAACGTCAACTAGTCCATCATCATGGTTGCATACTTCCACCCCTAAAATATTGCCTGCTTCTGTCTCAGCACAATCTTACAACCACTGGAACCCAATCCATACTTTTGTTTAAGCTTGGCCTCTAGTAATCTCCTTAATCTCCCAAATTGCATCCTAGCCAAACTCCAACTCCTATAGATATCCAGCGTTAGAATCTGAACCCTGCACTTGCATTGTCATTTCAGAATCTGTGGATGAGAATTCATGCATCCAGCTACAATTTTGGAGACCATGTCCCACTCTCATTGAATGTGCCCTAGGTCCCTCATTGTTCTAAGCCTCTGGTAAAAGCATTACTGGCCACAGCCACTGATCCTGGTAGCGCTGTTGGTCAACAGAGAGGACCTGGTATCTGAATTGTGGGCCGCTCTCGGGACAGGATTTCAGGTCTTGGGATCTCAATTCCTGGGGTAGGCACAATGCCCGTCAGTTTAGTGCCTCATGGGCACTCAGTCCCAGTGGGCCTTCTACAATGCAGGTAGTTCCCTTTGGCTCATTGCCATATTGGCCATATCAGTTGTAACAGGGGAATTGGAGCATTAGAGTAAAGAATTTTTAGACAGAGCGTTAGTGAAGTCACAGCTGGAGGATGGTGCACGGTTTTGGCTTGTTTGCTGAAAGGAGAATATATTTTCACTCACAGAAGTGCAACAAATTGCAAGATTTTACCAGCCCTCTGAAGAATTGCTTGGAGGTATGAGGGTTGGAAATTGACAGTCAATGCTTGGCACTTTCTCATCACCATAAACTATTTCCAAAGGCAACAATTCCACTGATCAGACAGGCAGTCAATTATTTCAAGTACTCGCATTTTACAGGTCTGCCCCCTGCTTTATGGGAGATTACCAGTGATATTTAGGCAGTCTCCTAGTGACTTCATCTAGGGGACTTTCAAGATGTTCAAAGGCTGGTGCAGGAGCATCTTATCAACAGTGACTGCTCCTGTGGCTCTGGCGCTATTGTTGGAGGTTTTGGCCCTCGCTGAGGACACAGCCCATTAAGAAAGTGTCTTCCCTGTACTTTGAGGGCATTTCAACGTGAAAGTACTCTCCGCCTTCTTGCAGCCTCATCTACGGCCACATCTGCCAATGGTGTTATAGATGTTGCTAAAATAATTGCCCACTGTTTGAACCAGCAGTTCAGAGAGGCAAGCTATCATCCTCAATGGAACAGCAGCAATGGTGCTGGTCTCCTAACTGGCTGTGTCCATGATCCAGATTTCCTAGCCGAGTGTCTACCCTGTAAAGCTCCTTAGAAATGGGTATGCTTCAATGAGGTTACATTTCACTCTTCCAACCTCTAAGAGGGAGACTTGGACAAACTTGCTTAGTCCTTTATTATGGGTTAATCTTCTCAACCCAAGAATGGCTATGAGAGGATGTTCCCACTGCCTGGGTAATCTAAAACATGAGTTACTTTGTTAGAAAAAGATGTCAGTGATTTAGGACCAAGATGAGGAGAAATTTATTCAAAGGGTTGTGAATTTTTGTAATTTTCTGTCAAAGAATGTTGTAGATGTTCTGTTATTGAGAGCATTAAAAAATAGACTCAACAGATTTTTGAGTACTATATAATTCAGGGATACGACAAAATGTAGGATTGAGGAAGTGAGGTGGAGAATTCGTCATGATCTGTTTTTGAATATAGGGGAAACTCAAAAGCCACATGGCATATTCCAGCATCTATTTCTTAGCCTTCCATGTTCTTATGCTTACGCTTCTAATTGTGATGATACATTTAATGGAGAATGTGAGACTGAGGCACTCCCTTTACAACACATTTTTTATACAGTTTGTACAGATGGATCATGAGTTACTGCTTTATTGGCAATAAATGCTGCCCATTGCAGAGTTGAAAACTTGTTTGTCATTTTTAATTAACATCACAGTTGTCAACTTGTCAAGAAATACTGATCAGTTCCATTTTGTGTTCAGAAAATTTAATTTTGTTTTCAAACTGGCTGTACCAACACATAAGAAATTTCTGATATTGATTTTTATCAGTAATAATCTGAGGTATAGATCAGGAACTTCCTCCCACATATTCACCAGGATCTGCCACTGTCAGCTGTAGGTGATGATGTTTTTCAGAACTATGACTTATTTTGGTTGAGTCTCATTTCCTGCTGCACTTCAATTGTCAGCCTCTAGCTTCTTTTTCTGGAGGCAATACCTTGCATTGGATCTGTGTTTTAAAATGCTTTGAAAGCTAAGTAAAAGTTAAGAGCTTCTTGTGTGGAGATGTCACCCTCACCCACCTTTATTTCATACCGAAGATTCAGTCTAATGTGCAGTGGAATCTGCATATTGTAAGGTACAAAGTTCTTTGATTCCCTGTCAATTCTTGTTAGGAACATGTATTTTCCAAATCACAATATGCCTTGGATTGATTATTGCTGGTGCCAAAAACACTGCCAGGTACATTCCAAGCCACGAAAAGCTAACCAATAGCAGCAAAAAAGGGAAACTACTCAAATTTGACCTGAACTTTCATACAGAACCACCTAATCCCACCTACATAACAGTAGCCCTCAGTGGGAGGGGATCAGTTTCTCCTATCTTCATCTATCCAGCCCACTCATGATATTGAATACCTCCATCAAATCCCCCAGCAGTCTTCTTCTCTCCAAGGAGAACAGTCCCATCTTCTTTAATCTATCCTCATAACTGAAGTTTCTCAGTCCTGAAACCATTCTTGTAAATTGCTTCTGCACTCTTTCCTATAACGTGGCACCCACAACTGCACATAATAGTCCAGCCGAGGGCTACCAAATGTTTCGTACAAATTCAACATCATCTTCTTACTCTTATTTCCCTATCAATAAAGTATTTCTTGTGACATCCCTTTCATAACATTTATTTCTTTAAAAAAAAATCTAAGGGAATGTGAGCACCACGTGTATTGGAGTTTACACATTTCTTCTGAATGATGAATCTTTCTTCCCATCTGTCACACTGATCAAGCACTGTAAGGATTTAGGATTTAGAATTTTTAAAAAATTCTTGCATTAAAAGTTATGCATTTAGGTTAACTTGAAACACTTTTGTACTTGATAATTCATATGTTTTTAGTCCTATAAAAGTACACGTGGTTACATCTGAATTTCTCAGTGTTCATCTCTAAAATGTTGACTAACCACATCCAGAGTGGATGTTTGACATGTCTGCTGTTATCTGCAATCCTACCTCTATGTCAATGAAATGTATGTATCCCTTGAACTTTGTAATTTTACAGTTCTAC